CTTCCTTCCTTCCTTCCTTCCTTTCTTTCTTTCTTTCTTTCTTTCTTTTTCTTTCTTTCTTCCTTTTGTGGTAAGAACACTTAACATAAGACCTACCCTCACAACACATTTTAAGTATATAATACAGAATTGTTCGCTATGGACATTATGCTATGTGGTGGATCTCTAGAATTTATATATCTTACTTCACTGGCACCTTGTACCCTTTGATCTTCACGTCTTCATTTTTTCTGCCCAGCAGGATTTGATAAAATAATTTGTGACAGAGCTATATGATGGATTTTTAAGAAGCCATTGTAAATGAGGACATTGATATAGATTCAAAGTACTCTCCTCATTCTTTATCAAGCTTGTAATTATGTTGGTCTTTCCAAATCCATTAAGGTGCAAAATAATGCACCTAGTTGCCAACCTCGTGAAAATGATGGCCATTACATACTTAAAATATTTTACTTATTTATTTTTACTAGTTAGATATGTTACATTCAACATTATAGAAATTAAGACTTGAAACATACAAATTCATGTTTTAGAACCGTGAACTTGAGTTTGTGTGTATATGTGTGTGCACATATTTGTACGCATGTGTATAAGCATACAGGTGTGTTCATATGCCTGCATGTTGTGTGCATACATGCATGCATGTGTGCCCATGCGTGTGAGTTCCCTGGAAAGCCTAACCTCCAGCTGAGGATGCTACCACATCTCAGCCACCAGGAGAAGTTGCTGTTCCCTTTTACGACATATTCAGGGAAATTAGTAAACCCACTAAGGACATAACCTCTATATCCTTGAGTATAAAAGCTTTTCTACCTGTAGGACTCCTTTACCTTCTGAATGCAACAACGTGGTGTGTGAAAGCCAAGGAAAACCATGGATAGGTCTGATAAAATTTGCCTCTTGACAGCAGACTCCACGAACGTTACTCAATCCTTTGGAAATTCTCTTCTTTTTCCTGCTTTTCTGGAGCCTTGTCATCTCTCCTGCCCCTTTGGAATTAGTTCCACCTGGTAACTGCCCCTCCTGCCCACCCCACTCTCCTCTTTGTCTCCCCACAACCTCCGTCTGTTGGTCTGGTACAAAAGTCAATAGATATCCCCAGGTGCATGGTGCTTAATGTCCTCCTTACAGATACTAAAGGACAGGTTTATTAAAGGACAGGTTGCTTCAAAGCAGTAATTGCCAAACTTTATTTGATTGTTCACCCTTATCACTAAAATATTTTGAGCATAAACTCCCAATATACTTAATATTGTACTAATAGATTATATATATTATAAAATATACATAAAGATAAAAATGTAAAATGATAAGATTTTAAAAAATATGTAGAAGTTCTACTATTTTCTTCCCACATCCCATGGATATCCTTTGGTGACTGGGAGACCAGAGATGAAAAAGACATTTCAGGTCTGACTTTAGAGGCATCAAGGGCACTATAAATTCTGCTCCTGCTCAAGAGAGAGGCTTCTCTCCACAGTGATCTGCCGGATCCAAGCTGCCCTCTGGGCTTCCGTAAACCACAGGATATAAGGTGCTACAGCAAATGATACGAATGACTTTTTCTGCTGACGTTTCTTTCATGCCCTTCTTTCACTGCTGCCTTTGAGCTACACTTGTGTCCTTTCTCATGTGCTCTGGTTCTCGGTTAGGACTCATACTGGGCCAGCCAAGTCTTAGACCATGTAGGCTGTTCCAACCTATCTTCTTTGCCTTGTGGGCAGAGCTCCTGGTTGGAAGTACTTTGCTTTCTCAGCTACCATGGAGTTGGACTTCTTTGGCTATAACTGTACAAACACTGGCCTGTTATTGCCACGGGCAGTGGTCTTATAGGATTGGTTCAAGATCTCAAGGCATTCACCAACTCTGAAGAGAAACGGAAAAGCAAGGGTGCAGAGACACACAACAGGGGCTGTATCTGTGTGACACAACAGAGCATCCCGGCAGTGCCTCTAAGAGGAAAGACTGGTTGAATGAATGGTTGATATGAATTTTATCTTGTATTGGTACCAATTAGGAGACCTCTTCCACTGCTGGCTTCGGTTTGGGGTCTGAAAAATCACTTTAATTCACTCTCATGTGGTTTTTCTTTCACACTGGGAGACTCATGATGCAAGGAAGCCAACGCTTAGCTTTTGTGTACAATGCCATTGATTTATTCAAGTGGGAAACTGGAACTATTGGAAAAGAAACGCCCTCATGTCATTTGTAGTGGTTCTTCTACCCAGTGTTCTTGGAGCCTTGCTAGTCTCCAGTGGGAGGCCTTGCTTCCTCCTGGGACTTGATTTCATCATTCTGCTTTTTTCCCTTATATCTCTGGACACATGTTTTCCTGCTGGTTTCTTTTCCTCTGCTTCAAAATCTCTTAGTTCTCCCTTATCTCCCACCCCCAGCCTCACCCCACAAGTCAACTTTCACTTGCTCTGGACTCACCTTCCATTGCAACACACCCACTTAAAAAAAATAAAAATTAAACCATTTTTTTATTGTGATGAAAAACAAAATTTACCATCTTAACCATTTTTATTCGTACAGTTCGATAGGGTTCAACATATTCATTGTTGTGAAACAGATCTCCAGAATTTGAAATGTGAAACTGTATATCCATTAAACGACTCGACTTTTCTCCCTTCTCCAGCCCCTGGTAACCACCATTCTACTTCCTGTTTCTATGAATTTGATTACTTTGGATACCTCATATAAGTGGAATCAAACAGTATTTATCTTTTTGTGACTGGAATCTTTCACTTAGTATAATGTACTCAAGGTTCATCTACGTTGTAGTATATGACAAGATTTTCTTCCATTTTAAGGTTGAATAAGGTTTTATTGTGTGTACATACCTTATTTTATTTATCTAGTCTTCTTTTGATGGACATTTGGGTTTCTTCTACCCCTTGGCTATTGTGAATAATGCTGCTATGAACATATATATTTATTTAAGACCCTGCTGTAGATTCTTTTGAATATATACCTAGAGGTGGGATTGCTGGATCACATGGTAGTTATATTTTTATTTTATTTTTTTAAAAATGTCATATTATTTTCTCTAACACAAAAAAGACCCAGTAATCTCACTTCTGGATATTTATCCGATGAAACTCAAAACACTACTTCAAAGGGACATGTGCATTCATATGTTCATTACAGCATCATTTACAATAGTGAAGATATGGAGGCAAACTGGATGTCTATCAATGGATGAATGGATAAAGAAGAGGTGGTAAATATGTGTAATAGAATATTACTCAGCCATAAAAAAAGAATAAAATCTTGCCATCTGCAACAGAATAAATGGACCTAGAGGGTATTGTGCTGAGTGGAGTAAGTCAGACAGAGAAAGATAAATGCCTAATGATTTCACTTATACGTGGATTCTAAAGAAGAAAATAAGTGAAAAAACAAAACAGAAACAAACTCATAGATACAGAGAACATTTTGATGGTTGTCATATTGGAGGGGGTTAGCAGGCTGAGTGAAAAAGGGGAATGGATTAAGAAGTACATATTGGTAGTTTCAAATAGTCATGGGGAGGTAAAATATAGCGTAGGGAATATAGTCAATAATATTGTAATAATTATGTATGGTGTCAGATGGGTACTAGATTTTTAGGGGTGATTACTTTGTAAGTTATATAAATATCTAATCACTATGTTGTACACCTGAAACTAATATGACATGCCAGCCGTAATTGAAAAAAAAATTACTATAAAAAAACAAAAACAAAACTTAAGTCCACTCTATCATGCTTTATTTATAGATGTAATTAATTCCATTCAGAGAGAAATACTGAAGAATTAGATCATAAATGAAAACAACAAAGACAACAACAATATGCAATAAAATGGTAAGAACATAAAGCATGAGAAACGTCTTGTCCTTTCTGACATTTGTGGTATCCAAGTTCTGTTTTCTGGAGAAGCCACGAGTAGGCAGAGTTGAGTGTAAAATACGAGGGGAGTAGCACAAGATTGATCATGAAATGCTGTCTTACCACAATTATTTTCTAAATATGACCATAATTACACTTAACTGTTATTAGTTATATATCACAGTGATGTTAATGAAAATGACATGTCTAAATGAGAACATTTACATAAAGCTCCTGTTGAGGGCCAAGAAAGCTCACTTAAAAAAATTTCAGAACTTCAGTTGGGACATTTCCTAATTAGATAATTGGCAATTGGATCTTATTTTACCTTTTTATGTTGAGAAGTAATGTGTTTTTTTTTTAGGATCAAAAGCCTTTTCCCCCTCATGAATGTCAAAGTAATAAATAAGTGTCTGTCTAAAACTATTATTTTATGGGTAAAATAGTTTGGTCTTTATACCAGTATTATAAAATTCTGGTTTTAATAATCCAAAATTATGGGGCCTACATGGAATTTCTTGTGAGAAACACACACAGAAATCCAGTGTCTTGCAAAATGATTTATATTTCATTCATGGTTTAATTCTATTTTGGGTAAAACTTGATCATTAGTAGACACAAGTGGTACTGTGAGGCCTTGGTCAGTATGTAATAAATAATTCATCATTACCTGCAGCATTAGAAACATCTCATCCCTTGAAAACAGGACTAGAAAAGTGAAATATGCAGGACAGCCTAAAATTCCTGTGTTTTCTGAAATTGCCAAGCAAATAGGAACCGTCTAGACCCTCTGAGGAGTTATGTTTAGCCCATTCTGATCTCCTGTGTCAACTCAGCTTTTCTGCCCTTCAGACTCTGGTTACAGCCTCTGAGACCACCGAGGGGCTAGAAGCGTGGCATTCTTTGTCACGAGCTTACCGTACTCCATATTTTGTGCAGCCAAGCTGTAGGAGTATCAAATTTACCTTCAAAATCTTGGCTTTGTGGTTTTTAAAACCCCAAACAAGAATTCTTCTGGAACAGCTCTTTCAAGATTTTAGCTTGGCTAGTCTTTCTGCCGAGGGCGATTTGTGGCAGGATACTCTTCTCAGGAGGGTGTTAGGCTCTTCCTTATTTCTCAATAGGTCCAAACTCTTTCCTGGCAACAGTGTATCTGTGGAACAGCTATTGTCATCCCATCCAAGGAACAGATAAGATTTAATATTGGTAGAAGGACAAACTTAAGTATGTAGGCATGATCCAAAGAGATTTGAACAAGTGTCAGTATCTGAAGAATCACAATAGGTAATATGAATTTAAAAAGCAATACTGGTAACAAATAAGACAGGTACATGGGGCCCCATGGCTACCGAGAACCCTGACGCTCTGTAGTTAGAAAGAGAAACGGGAGCCTCTGGGCCTATGCAAAGGACCCCGAAGCCCTTGTCATCCTCGTGCCCAATATTTGTTCAATCAGCATCTTTCTTTCAGGATTTCTGCTGACTTAGGGAAGTCAGAGTGATCGGCTCCCCGCTGCTTCACATGCTCTTGATCCACATGCTTCCTGATTATCACGGTGAGGAGCATAGTATAAAGCTGAGCAGAATAGAGCTTGGTTGATCATCAGTCAATTAGCCCAGTTCGGGAACAGGTTCAGTGGCCTGGTAGGGGTGGCCGGTGACATCCAGTACTCTCCCACAGTGGGTGCAACCCTCCCTCTCTTCTCTAACAGCTGGCTTCTAGAATGTAGATGCTGCACGTGCCCCACCCCCAACCCCACCCCCAACACACACACAGTGGTAAGTTGGCTGGAAGGGAGAACATCTGGGGAGGATTCCTGTAGCAATCTCCAGAGGCTGAATGAGACAGAGGCTTCACAAATTGGGTTGACTAGACAATGAAATATTTATCGTGATTCCTCCTCTTTTTTTTTTGAAGTTAAAAATTCCTCGTCAACCCTGGGCTGAAGCCTGTGTACATGAGAAGAATTCACAATGATCTCTGAAGTGGCCTGCTACCACTTACTGAGGACCTCAACCCCCAGCAGGCGGAAGGCAAGTGCCTGTATCTGCAAACATGCAGATAGCTTTTCTAATAAAACAGGGAAGTCCATTAAACAAAAGGAAGCAATCTAGAAAACCAGGTCATGTGACCGTCTTTCCTGAGTTTTTGCTTTATGAAATATTTTCTTACGTGGGTGAAAACCAAGGCAAATAACTTTGCTGTCATTTTAAAATAGACATTTAATATGTATAATGTTTAATTTTAAAGATAGTTATTATTATTATTTTTAATTTATCTTGAATGTCTACTAAAAGCCAATGGAGAATTGTGGGATTATTCAGATAATTCAGACCCAAATGCCGATTTCCCTTTAAATATTTAAAGAGTGGAAGAAAAATGTAGACACATCTGACTTGTACGGTGAATGATCAAGTACTCGTTTTGCATTAGTTGTTGAAGTCTCTGCTATACCCCATGTCACATGGCAGTGGAAAAGCATTACGGATTTGTTAGAAAAGAGGATGTCAGCTTTCTGCCAAAAGTGGACAGACAACTATCTTCAGTGCTCACATTGGTTAGTCATTTGGCATCTAAAGGTTTCAGTCAGTCAGTAGTCAACACCGATAACAGAAAGATGAAGTTTCCTCATCTGGGTTTAAGGTGACTCTTGCGATGGGCCTCCCTTCCTATCCAGTCCCAGCTCCTGCCTTCCCCAAGGGATCCCGCGGTCCACTGAAACCTCCTCGTATTGCCAAACCTGTCCAGATGGCTTCCTCCTCCATGACTGTTCATCTGCTCCGTGCTCCTACCATGGCTCTTTGGGCGACATCCTGCCCATCTCCTCATGGGAACCCCTGCTCCATCCTCACCTACTCCTTGGTATCTTTCTGATCAATCCACCTTCCAACGAATCCTATGCTGAGGAAGGCAGCTCTTCTTTGGGCTCCAATTCCATCCTATTCACATCTTTAAAACATCACTTTTCTCCTTTCACCAGCCACAGAGCTTACTGAGTACCTCTTCTGCTGCAGTTACTGCTTGGGTGGTGGGAATTACAGATACAGTTCCTTCTCTCTTGGGGCTTATATTCTAGTTGAGAAGAAAGATAATAAACATGCATATAAAATGATGACATGTAGTACAATGATGAAAGTATGTAGAGGTTTTTCTTGTCTGACTTTCCCGGCACCCTGTGACTCTGAGAGCAGGTACTAGTCAAACTAGCCTAGGGTGGGGCACTTGCATATCCAGTGTCAATAGATGTTGAAAGAATGAGCAAATGAAAGGAACATTTAGTTGACTTAACTATATCCTCAACTTTCCCAGCACTGGAAGATGTAAAAGAAATAAAAGCTCATTTTACTTTACAGTTGGAAAATTTTCTCTTCTCAAAGAATATCTTTGTGACATTTTCAGAGACAATAAGGAATTTTCCCTCCAACTAGAAAACCACCCGAAGTTTATATAGTCACTTTGCTAGAAACATCTGCCTGTCACTTGATTCATCATTCAGATAGATCACCCACAAGACAAGTAAAAAATGACGGTTCTGTACTACAGGTTTTTATTTCCATTAAATTCTATGGCATACCATCTTGAACAAACATTTTTAGTCAATATTTGGTAAAAAGTCCAATTCAATCAAGTAAATAAAGCATTAAAAAATAATTTTACTTCTTTGCTAAACTAAATCCATTAAGAAGAATACAAGTAGAACTGAGGACAAAGGATATTTAAAACAAAACAAAACAAAACAAAACAGTGAGACCCATTGCGCATTTGCATTTTAAAATTAATTGCTGCCCTAATTATTCATCAATAGAAGCATAAATTAAGCAAGTATTACTTAGAGTAAGCTTTCAGACACCCACAGGATTCTCCCCTCAGGAGTAAATTGTCATAATGGTTCAGTGTGACGGTTTATTTTTGCTGTCTTTTCTATGATGAGGAAAGAGAAGATTGGAAATGAAGCCATATGAAAATGAAAAAGACACTCCAGAGAAAGAGACAAGACACATGTAGGTACTTTAGTTCTCCCGTGTAAGGTTTGAGAAGATAGCAACCAATAAAGCATGTTGGAACCCAGGAGCTACTTTAGAAGACTTACTGAAATTGCACTTCCATTAATATTAAGTGCAACTCCATGGCCCCAAAACACAATCAACAGGTGACAAATGCTGTTAAGCGTGTGGTTGTTATTCATTTTGCCTTGCGTAGATGGGGCTAGCCAACGTGAGTGTTTGCTCCATCTGCTTTCTCTTACACCAGGTCAGCAGAGCTCTAGGCATCTACCACAGCTAGAATATTTTTTTCTGTCACATAATCAGGTGTGAATTGTTGGTGATCTCTCTCAAAAGCTTTTACAACAACACAATGATGCTAATAACAAACAGCTTCAAATCTCAATGACTTAAATTCACTGCTATTTATGCTCATGCTTCCTGGGCTGCAGGTCAGCTGTGCTGGGCTGGTCTAAGCTGGGTTTAACTAGGAGACTCTCCTCCAGGTATGCTCTACAGGTGGGTCAGTTGGGACAACTAGGTTTTAAGCTGCAGGTTGAATTTGGGTCATTGCACCTGTCTCTCATTCTGCAAGGATTATCTGACGGCATAGAGCTATCTGGCTCGTGACTTTTCAAGGCAGAAGTGGAAGCTCTCAGAAGAGTGGTGTAAACATGCAGTTCCTTACTAGGCTCCAAATTGGCATATAGGAGTGTCTGCCCACCTCTCATTGGCCAAAAGAAGTCCCAAAGTCAAGGTCAACTCTTCCTAGGAGGGTGAGTGTGTCTTTGTGTTGGGGGAGAAAGGGAGCAAAAAATAATTTTACGAAAAAATAATTTAATCTACCATAACTATCTCTATTTAAAAGAAGACCTTCATTGTCTGATTTGGGCCTTTACATATAAATTATTTAAAGTTTGTCTTTTTCCCTCATGAGTTTGTTAATTGTAAGTATGTTAGATAAGCCAGAAAGATGTCCTGCCAGTAAGACAGATACATGAACGACTTAGAAAGATCCATGGATGAACCTCCAGCAACAACAGCCTGGGAAATCCAGTTGAATCTTCACCTTGCTGTTTGAAGAAGGGGTACATGGGATGCGGGTCTGCAGGTCTTATTTGGCTTTGAGGCCATGCATCGAGCTGCCTGATATAGACCAGACGGGCAGGAATTCCGCCTCAACAGATGTGTGCATGACTTCACTGCTCCAATTTCAGCATCACCTCTCCCCTGTCACCAACCAGCAACCCACACCAAAGGATGTTTTTCTGATCATTTTGCACTCATTAAATGCAGCTGTCACAACAGTGGATGCGAGGACGCATGCAAAACTTTTCTGCCACATCAAAATAAAGCTGAAAAGCTTTTTAGAAAAGAACTGAAAGCTTTGAAGCCTTCTCAAGGAATATTGGAAATATCACCTTTTGTCGTTGACGATTGAAAGTGTTCCATTGCAATACAAATTAAATCTCGGCCCAGACTAAAAAAGCATCAGCCATCACAATTTTGCAGCAGAAAGCATTTGGCCAACCAGTTGGGATTCAACTGTACTATTTCTGGATCTGAATGACCTGGAGGCTCCATACTCATCAAACTGGCTAATCTCTGCTAATGATTTGAATGGGGCGGAGTAGTGCCCTGACTCTTAAAGAAATGTTATGAGAATGAAATAATTAGACACCTACTACATATGTACCCCATTAGGAAATAAAACAAACAAATGGCTTCTGGAGCCATAACCCAAATGCACTGGATTAGGCTCTCCAGGTGGAGGCGATGGCCTTCTATGATTTTGGTGCAGTCATCAGAATCCATTTCGCCCATCCCTGGATCTATGTGGAAACCAGCAAAAAGGACGATATTCCGTAGTGTGCTTCTTGATGTTGCACCCCCTGAACTTTCCTGTTGTTTACTAAGTGTCAGTCTTAACCTCTTGACCAGCTCAAAAGTTGACCCTGGCTTTTGCTCCTCCGAGAAGCCTTCCATCAGCTTCCCCTGGGCTGGGCCACTGGCTGCGTTCCTGTCAGACCTGTTCCCCTCTCAGTCATGATTGCTGTGGCAATCACTCTTTCTGTGATGGTACCATCCCCACTCGACTGGGACTTGGAGAGTAAGAAATGGGTTTATTATCATATGTTTGGCCCTAACAATGTAAAGCAGGGCTGCGCCCCCCCCCGCCGCCTGCCCACAAATGGTGAAGGACAGAAGGGTGGACAGAAAGGAGGAAGGAGAGCAATAGCATCAGATGATTTCAAGGGGTGGGTAGGCACATCTTGCAGCCAGATGTTGGTCGCACACGTCAGGTAACACAGATACAGATGTTTCAGCCTCTCTTCCTCCCCCTGTAGGCACACGTGGTAGTTTTTTGGGCACATGGGCAGTCATTATCGTTCAGGTAACAAGAGAAGCCCTTATCTCCTGAGTGATTTTAGCTTTAGGGTCCAGCCAGGAAAAATCTACCTCACTAGATATTTGGAAACTAGATATTTCCTACCTCTTAGTCTCAAAGTTCTCTTTGGACAAAGCCTAAAGGGAGCAGGAGACTGTGGTTGGCTGAGACCCAGTCCCACGGCCGTAAAGCAGAGAAGAGCAGGGACAATGGCTTGGTGACCAGCACCATGAGAGCCATGTGGCTTAGCAGTCTGCAATTGTTCAGTACCCTCTTCCATCTCGAGATGGAATGCATGTTTAAATGACTCAAAGCCAGGTGCATGAGCTACGGGGTCTGGGGATTGCATCTGCTTCGCTCTGCACCCTTCTGATATGGGGTGAAATCACGAGAGACTGTAAGGGAGAAGATGTAAGAAATTGAGGTATTGTCTTGACCGCAATGCCACACCAGTGAGAACATCGAAAGACCAGAGAAACAATAAACTTAAGGAGTTGTAGAGGAAAACATAGAATTCTCTAGTGTTTTAATTCCTGTGCTAGGCGCTGAACGCAGCTCTGAAGTGAGATGTAACGGAAAAAGCTGAGGAGAAGGGGGCACTGAGCCTGGAGCGTGTCTCACTGTCTGAGGGGAGCCCACAAGGGACAAGGAACCCATCGTCTCAGCCAGGCTCTGCCTTCCCCTGGAAAGTGAAGAATTCAC